CGGCTCATGCTGGGTACTGTGGTAAATACTTTCCAGAGCCAGTTGATTAAGTGGGATCCAGGCTGACACCAAATCAGTATAAATTCTCTGGTCTAAATAATAGTTCTTTAACTCTTGGATTCAGCTGTCTTAGTCTTTTCAGTTAAGTCGAAAGCACATATTGAGGGTCAGTGCATACAAATAGGTAACCACTATCTAAGCCAAAGTTCATATGACAGTTAATGTGTGTGTAGTAGATAGACAGATTTTTCCCCCCTCAATAAACATTTATTGAGCATCTATTATGTACCAAGAAGGAGGGTCTGTCAGCTCTTTCAGGCAAGGTGTCATGCCTGTCTCGGTTATTGCTGTGTCCATACCATTTAGTAAGCTGGTACACTGAAACATGACAGACATTCAATGAATATAATTTGAAAGATGACAACAGACGGACTTAGGAGACAGATGTGCATAAATGTACATACAAAAATATAATTTAATATTGTAAATACTAGAGAAATATGGATAATTACTGTGGGATCTGGGAAGAGATTAACTCTGGTTGAGAGCCTGGGAGAACCTACCTCATGGAAGATATATCTTGGAAGTGGAATTTGAATATTAGTTAGAAATTTGACAGATTGAGAGCAAGGAGAGTTATTCTTGTTGTTATATACCATGAGGGAAAAACTCAGATGCCTATAGGAGCAAGGAAGCCAACATGCATGAAAGAGGCAGACTGGGTAGGAACAGCAAGGAGCCTATGGACACAAATCCCACTTACATAGAGCAGCTACTCTGCCCATGGTAATTGTTGCTACGTTGGACCAGGAAGTCCAGGTGGCCACACTGACCAAGTTTCCAAGGTAAGCCAGAAATCTGGACTGTTCTGTAAAACCTCTGTGTTTCACAACTAACTAATTTTAAGAGATTTCTGCTGTCCTTGCATTTGTGACTTGTACTTTCATTGTCATGCCTTGGATAAACTTCTCCGTATTTAGGAGATAACACCTTCTATGCTTCAGAATCAATAGCTATTTATTGAAATAATATACACATTTCTCTAGTATGGTGTTGTACATTATTTATTAATATATAAATCACACATTAAGAGGAAAAGCTTAAATTTGGAATCTTCTATTTTGGACAACCCTGTGAGATAAAAATTATTAGTTAACATTTTGCATTTTTGCCCTTTAAGAAATGTTAACCATGTAATCCAAGCATCAGACTGCTTTTTAAGAGCCTTTTAAGACAACTTTTAAGAACTTAGACCTGCTTGCCTTTTAGAAAGTTCTTAATAAGCCATTATACAAGAGACACAAGTGAAGACTACATACTATAAACAAAGAGGGCTTTCTTCAATAAGCCAAATAACATTAAATCTTTTAACCTTGTCTTTCATGCACAAAGGCACCTTTAAGGGTGTCTCCAGTAAGTGCTGTATTAACACAGAAGTTTGGTTAATTACAGCCACTATTCTCACATACCTCAACTGAGCATGAATACCAAGCAATCTACTAGTGTGCCCCTGGGCATTAATACCTAATGAAATTGGATTCCTTGTTTCCTCTAATGAGCTCATTGCTCTTCTAAATATGGTCATTGCAGGTAAATGATCAATAGCCTTGAAAATGACACCACCACTGGATTATGTTGGCGAGAAAGAAAAACTCTTTATGTGAAATGAGTATTGTGGCATATATATCTCAGCTGACTTTCTAAATAACCTCATATACAACAAGAATAGCCATAGTGGATTTGTTGGTTTGTTTTAGTGGCTGAGTTAGATGAAAACTGTGGACAGTCACTCTGAGTATAGAGAAGTGACTTCAAATCCACATCACCTAGCCCAAGTTGAAGTAAACAAGATCCAGCGCGTTTCTGTTAATAGAGAGACTGGCGGGCAGCAGGCTATGAAAAGGTCTGTTTTCCGTTATGGTACGTACAATAGTTATAGCATATTTCTGTTATAGTATACTGGTTTAGTACAAGTAACCTCTACTGTTTGTTTCCTAGGGCTGTCATAACAGATCATCATAAATTTGGTAGCTTGATGTCCATGTAAGAATGTCCAAACCTTCAGAGTATTTTTATAAGAGTTTATTTGAGCCAAACTGACAACAGATGTCAGGAAGCAATATCTCAAATGCTCCAGAGAATGACAGTTTGCAGTTTCTTTTATACATTTGGAATTAAGGAGGGAACATAAAGAAGATTACATGAAGGTGGGAGAAAGCAAGTCGGGGGTTGAATTACAGCATGGTTAACATGATTATGTGTTCTCTTGAGGGTGGTTATACTTCCAAGAGGTCTGAAAAAGAGGCTTTTCAAAGGTGTGTTGACCTAGATGCACAAAAACAATGGACAGGTCTTGCTTAAGGCAAATATAGCCTTTTACTAAAGCAGTTATATGCCTGGGGCATGACTACCCATCATGACATGACCAGTTAGAATTTATGATCAGACCACCCTGTAAGGTTATTTTCAGTCACTGGAATTGTTAGATTTATTATAGAGTCCCCCTTTTTTTGTCCACATTCACACAAGAGAAATTTATTACCTCACAGTTCTGGAGGCCAGCAGTTTGAAATCTAGGTGTTGGCAGGACAGCCCTGTCTCTGGAGGCTCTAAGGGAGAATCTGTTCCTTACCTCTTCCAGCTTCTAGGGCTGTGGGAATTGCTTGACTTGTGCCCACATCACTTCAATCCCTGCCTCTGTGGTCACATTTCCTCTTCTGTCTGTGTCTCTCCTCTGTCTCACCATTAGATTTAGGACCCACCCTGGTAATCTAAGACAATCTTTTTATTTCAAGATCCTTAATTGCATATGCAAATATTTTTTTTCCAAATAAGGTCACAGGTTCTGGGGTTTAGGAGATGAACATATCTTTTTGGAGACTATCATTCAGTCCATTACATCTACATTTCTCCACTGTCATTGTGGTTAGTTAAGAAAGCTGAACACAGTCACTACTCAGGTTATTATGGTATTTAAGTAATTTACTAATATTATCATTTACTGAATAAATAACTTATATTGTGTGTGTTGGTACTTTTTAATTCTTATAACCTTTCTGGAATTATCTTTTCTTTGCAGGTAAGGAGATAGAGGCTGAAAAAAGATAAGATCTTGCCCAAGGATACAACGCAACTAATAAATGCCAATTATATTTAAAGTCTGTATGTTTCAACTATGGCTTACATTTTATTCTTATATAACTTTACATGTTCACATTCTTTTTCAGAAATTGATGTGTTAAATTTCACAGGATAGATTTTTTTCATTAAATTCTTGGTCTCAGTGATTCCTCAGCTTCCTGAGGTAATACTCTATAGGGTTCAGAACATCACTTTCAGATTTAATCTTAAGAAGAGCAAGCCAAAGTGAGGTTTTACAGAATAATGGTTATAGGATGAGAATACATTTAGGGCTTACTACTTCACCCAAAGCTATCTTTTAATTAATTTCCATTTCTAGAGTAGTTTAGTCCGAATGGATTTGCCATTTTATAAACTGGGTGTTAAGTTTACCGCAGTGCTTAAGGCCATAGACACAGGCTGTGGTGTTTGAGTCCTCTCTTCTCCATTTGTTAACACTGCTCGCTTGGGGTTAATCACTTAACTTTCCTGTGCCTCACTTTCTTTATTTGTAAAATAGACAATTATAATGATATCTCACAGGATCCTTTAAGAGATAAGTGAAATAATAATATGCTTAAACAGTAACCGCTTCATAGTACAGAATCAATATAGAAGTATTAATTATGACCAATTAGAGGTATTTTACATAGAAAGTGATAATAGCAGTACCACATTTAAAGTTGTGATGGAGTAGCCAGCAGTAGAGTTCAGTAGAGTTTTATTTGGCACACAACACAGCTTCAAAGCAGAACACGGGGCAGAGGGTGTCAGAGAGCAAATACTACCTGATAGGATTTTCCTTTGTGAGTCAAAGTGTTTTCTGTTCCTTCCTTTCTTCTTCACAACAACTATAATCCCCCTGCCTTTGCATTTCTCTCCCCACTCTGCTATTTATTCTTTCTTAAAGGAAAAAAATGAGTTTTCATTTTCCAAGATAATCCTTGTTAAATCTTACCTATTTCCAGACTTCCAAGGTAATTGAGTCCCTAATTGAGTCAGAAGAAACAGTCATATTAGCTGTGTTTCATATGCATGAGCTCCGTCAAGAATCCTGGAAACGATTTTCTGTTGGCAGGTTTACAATTCTAAGCAATCTCTTGGGACGTACAATTTAGAGATAAAGTATGGGAAGGCTCAGAGCACTGGTAGCTTTCAGCTCTAAGTGGACAAAGCATTATCTGCACAGCATTTCTAAGTAAAAGTGGCTTACAGCTGTCAGGTTGTATAAAATTAATGCCCAGTTTGTTTACATCCATATCATTGCTTAAGCATTTGCAGTCTGTCAGTGGAGCAGGAAGGAAGAACTCGTGAGGTCTTTATAGTTCGCTTATTTGTGTTTTTATATATAGCTTTCTGTGGCAATTATTTTAAATTTATGAACCTCATATATAATAACACTTTTCTTCAAAGAACCCAGTGTTCATGATGAAGACAAATTAATGTACATTCTTAATAGACTTCAAGACGCCAGCAGTCATTATCTATTGTTATATTGATTTGGGGCAGGGATTGAGTAAATGTCAGCACAGGAGAGTGAAATGAATTGTCTCCACGTTAAACTATGACTGGATGATGGGACCAGCCATAGGCATTTGCATATTTTTATTTCTGATTTTTATCCATCCTAGGCATGACTTAGCCCTCCCACCCCTACTCAGGAAGTGAATTCATTTCCTAGTGGGGAAAGCCTTTAATTCTTAGTGCTTAGGGGAGAACACTCGAAAATGCATTGTGTTTGTTGTAAATGAAATTCTGATCATGCTTGTGATCACCATACTTTGTTGTCAAACACAACAGCCAAGTTCTTTCTTTGATCAAGGCTGAACTGAAGTGTGTCTGCGTGAATTGTTTCACATGGTGTCTTCTCCAACTTCTAGGTGAGCACAAAATGCAGAGGCCTCTGGTGGGAGTGTGTCACAAATGCTTTCGATGGCATTCGCACCTGCGATGAGTACGATTCTATACTCGCGGAGCACCCCTGTACGTATCCCTGAGATATTCCCCTTGTAGGGAGGGAATATTATAGAAAATTAAACTCAGGTTTCCATTATGTGCTTTTGTTTTCTACAGCACTGTATTAAGGTTCTGGCAAGTTCGAAATATTTTGATTAGACATTTAGTTTGTTTCTAAAATGTGAGTTGAAACATTTTAGCATATTTTATCTTTTCCCATGGATTTGTAAATTCTTTAGAGTAAAAATATTATCTTGCTCATTTCTGCTTTTCCCCAAAGGACCTGGCATAGTGCCTTATACACGGTAGGCTTATAGTAAACATTTTTTAAGTGGAAACAAATTCTTAAAGATGCTGGGATTTTATGATTAGAATTGACAGTTTAGATGAAAAGCATTTCAGAGATGTATTTTCGCTATGACTGTGTTCAAATAGGAAGTTTATAGCATTTCAATGGAAGATTTGCCAAAAAAGAGAATTAGAGATAGAGGGACAGAGACAGAAAGAAACAGATTAAAGCAAATTGGTTTTAGTTTCTTTCAAAGTAATTGACAGGTGATGGTATCACATGGCAACTTCTTTTCTCAAGATAAATGGAAAGTAAACCTTGGAATGTGACTTTTCCCTGGGAAGCTATTTCACCCAGGGTAAAGAACCTAAAAGGAGCAGCGCTATAAAATATCTTCCCCTGCCATTTAGGATTTGAGTGCCAGAACACTTTTAACATAATTCATAAGGCCTTTATTTCATCTTTTTTTAAAAAAAGACATCTTAATTCGTTCTCATTTTTCCCTTCCTGTGCTAACCTAGTTCTACCTACAAAGAAACATGATTTAGCCCTGGCCTGCTTGGCTCAGTGGTTAGAGCACTGGCCTGCGGACTGAAGGGTCCCAGGTTCGATTATGGCCAAGGGCACGTTCCTTGGTGCAGGCTCCATCCCCGGCCCCAGTCGGGGCGCATTGTGGGGGGTCAACCAGTCCATGAGTCTCTCTCACTTCATTGTTTTTCTCTCTCTCCCCTCCACTCTCTCTGAAAAAGCAATGGAAAAAATATCCTTGAGTGAGGATTTTTAAAAAAGAAGCATGATTTGGTCCGTAGACATAGAAATTCATGCGGACACAAGGCTATTCCAGAAATACAGTGGTATGGTTACCCCTGAGAAAAAAAAGATGAAGTCTTTCAATTTTTTAGACATTTATGCAAAAAGGAAACAAAATCACTCATAAGCACACTGCACAAGAGAAAATCACTGTTTATGTTTTAATGTTCCTTTTTTATCTTGCTTACACTATCTCATATTTTTCTTTTGCTCTAGTCTTAGCTATTAGTCACTAATAATATCTAAAAGATGCATTTTGTTTCAAAATTCTATCATATACTTAAAGACAACAGAGATGAAAATGTATTCTAAGAAAATATAATTATATAACCTTTTCCATCACCCTGTGTACCTAGAGTATGCAGACCCAGATAAATACTTTTTTCAGGGCTCCTGTTGATGTAGTTAATTTGAATCCCCCACATCCCTGCAAATTAGAATATATTTAATATTATCCTGGCAGTCAAATCTCACACAGTCCTTGAAAGGAAATTCCTGGCTAACCTGCATTAGCAACCCGCTTGCAGTGCTGCTTTCTTGGACTTGGCCCACCCATGGGGCTCCCTGTATGAGTCTTAGAATTCTGAAGAGCATCTGAACAATGCTTTGTGTGGGATCATGGGTCAAATAGGGGAAGAACAGGACCTGCAATGATTTCAGGGCACCCCATCCTGATGGTGCTCCTGTCACTGGGTAGTCCCAGGTTCCAAAAAGGGTCATAGAAATTTCAAGGGAGGCACTGCAAAGTGTGAGACCCTTTGGCTTAGGGTACTGAGTAGGCGGAGTCCCACTTGTACATGTCATTTGACAGTCAAGAGGATCTGCTGAAATATAAAAACTAATGAGTTATACATGATTTTCTTCCCTCAGTTTTGAGAAAAGTCAGCCTTAGATTTTGCCTAAATTTGAAATTTGTGCTTACTTTTTTTTCAAATAATGCTAAATTTTGAACCTTAGAAATTCCATTCTAGAAATGAATGTATACTTATATATTAATAAACAATAATTACATATAGCATATTTACCTAGTAATAAGGTAGAAGCTGATTTTATGCATTGATTTTCTCTTACAACTATCATAAAAATATTTTTTATTTTAAATAAGAAAAATTGGCTACAGTTTTGCAAGCAGCCTATTACTAAATAGACCCTAAAGTTACCTCATCATTGGGGAAAATTATTCTCAATGCAAGAAAACCCCAAATCACTATGAATATAAAACCTAATTACTGTATCATTAAAGGAATAAATTTTATTACTCCTCTCCATTAGCCAGCTAAAAGAGTAGTCGTTCTGACTTCAGGTAATTAACCCTGTATTTGCTATGAAATCTTCTTATTGCTAATTTAGCATAGCTGTGAGTCAGTTCAGGAAGCTTTCCCAGTTGAAGATGCTGCTATTCCACTTCTATTCATTTTATCTTCTCTTCCCTGGGTCTTCTACTGTATGTTCTCACTGGCTGTAGCTTTAAAATATGCTCAGTTGACGATGCAATGTAAAGGGGTTAATACTGAAATCTTGGCCAAGGAAGGTCATGACCTGAGGGAATTTGAAGGAGAATATGACCTGTCTTCCAGAAACAGTCTTCTACTCAATGACAGAAGCTCTTCCTCTTTCTACAGTTCTCCCACCAGCCTAAATTCTCAAGAGATGTCTTAAATAATTTTATCTTGCTCCCCTAGATCAAACTTTAACAAATCACTTTTAATTTTTTACAGCAGAACTTCAAACAAATTTAGTGATCTGATCATTTACTTATTGAATATTCGTTGAGTACCTTCTGCACGACACTCTACTTTCAGTTCAACTTCACTTTTCCTTCTTGTGAACAGGACTCATTCCTGAACAGGAGGCCAAAGAGAAACATTTATTTAGTCGCCACTATATGTCAGGCATTTTGCTAGGAGGCCAACAAGACTAAGTACTAATCGGTGCTTCAACAAATAATAATGCCAATAGCCTCATAATATCTTTATGTTTTATGAAAAATTTAAGGTTACTCATTTCCAAGTTCGTGCAAATTTAAATGCACAATTCTTTCAGTGGTCTGTGTTAATGCATGAGGTTGTCTGTTTTTTTTTGTACTTACGTGAGTTAACATGTTTCCTTCCTCTATCTATGCCGTAACCATGTGTCCTGATCTTCCAGTGAAGCTGGTCGTAACTCGGGCATTGATGATTACTGCAGATATCCTAGCTGGGTTTGGATTTATCACCCTACTCCTTGGTCTGGACTGCGTGAAATTCCTCCCTGATGAGCCATACATCAAAGTCCGCCTCTGCTTTGTTGCTGGAACCACATTACTAATAGCAGGTACTGGTATGGACTAGTGAGAGAGGTAGAGATACTCATTAGTGATAGAGGTCTTGAGGTGAAGGAGATGGGTGATGTTCTGAAGAAGTTCATTTTAGGATCATATGTGACTTGCATGTCTAGATTGAAGGAATAAAGAGCACATCCACAAGCCCTACTTTCTTTAGCTTTGGAAACAGATAATTAATATTTTTTTGTTAATATGGCAGATCAAGATTCATCAAAATCCTCAAAGTATTTTTCAACCATCTAAAGTAGCTGTATAATGCTTTAATTAAAAAAAAAAAAATCTATTATGATATTCCTGAAGTTAAATTCACTTAAGCCCCAAGCTTAATTAAGCCTCCTTACCTGTACCCACCCCCACCAATTCTTTTTAGTAATGAACTAAGTTGTGCCAAGTCCTATGTTAGACTTCTCTGGTGTGCCAACCCATTTGATCATAAATGAAATGGTAAACAGGTCATATTATTATTTTCACTTAAGAAGCGGATGAATAAATGGAGTTCTGAAGACTAATAAATAAAACATGACTAATAAACCATAAGTCAAGAAACACTTCACATGGTGTTTATTAGTGAAACAGCAAAACTGATATTTTACTCAGGTCTGTTACCAACTTCAAAGTTTAGTCTTTCTTTATCACAACATGATGTCATCTTTGGATCTTAATGCCAGTTGGGAGGAAGTATCCTGTTGGACAAATCAACAGGAACACCCTCCAGTGAGAAAACCATCTTCTTTAATGGTAGAAACAAAAAGTTAGCAAAGTAAATGTAAGTGGGAACCTGACCAGGCACCGTAAGTAATGAATGGATAGAGATTGTGGAACTAAAAATACTTGGAGATATATATGTGTGATGTGTGACCTTAGGCCAGTTACTTAACCTGTCTCCGTTTTCTTTTTTTTAAGATTGCCATCTCTTTCTTTTTTTTTAATTTATCTTTATTGTTGAAAATATTACAAATGTTTTCTTTTCCCCCTCCCATTTTCTGATCTGCAAAATAGCCTGAAGCCTTGGCAATAATAGCTACTGTGACTTGCTATTGTGAAGACCCAATGTGACGGAGAAAGCTCATAGCAGAGGGCCTAACCCATCACAATCTCAAACCCAGGCCTCCCTGATTTTTTCATGCACAAACATTGAGTCAAGGCCAGGATGATCCTTAGGTTGTATTAAAAAGTCACAAAAATGTAGTTACTTTTCCTTTGTAAGCATACATTCCCATACCCAGCCTAGTGATAACATAAAGCTTTTATATGTAACAATGTTTTACTTGCTAAATTTAGACATCATTTAATGCTATAAAGTTTCTTTACAGCGTACTTTTGGAGACATAACTAGATACTCCATTTTTTAAATAAAACAACAAAATGAGCTAAAGTTAAAGAAAATCAAGTCAATAAAGAAAATCCCTGTAGGAATGGCTGAAGAAAAATGACTAAATTGCCAGGCATGGCCAAAGACTTGGACCCATCACTCAATATTAGTAATATTCTGTTTCTAAGTTTCAAAAAAGGAATTTCCATTCTAAACCTGTGCGGTACAGTATTATAGAAAACACATGATAATTTATACCCTGTTATCTAAAGGTTATATGTTCATGATATGGTTCTTCTTAAAACTTTTTGCATTAAACAACTGAGAGAAGAATGCAATGAAAAGGTGGTTTAAAGAGATACCACAAACTCCCTAGAAAACACTGTGAAAGTGTTTTCGGACACTACAATTTCAGAAATATCTTTTGCACATAGCCTTTTATCCCCCAATTCCCCATCTTTTTTTTTCTTTTTTCCTCTCATGTAGGCCCTGACATGCAATTTATTCCTTTAAAACAAGCAAACCTTAGTGGTTTCACTTCAAACCAGTCAATTATCAGATAGACTAATCTATGGGTATTAAATTTTATTTAAAAGGAGTAACTCTTCTTTGTTTATTCTTATATGTAGGGGTGATAGATAAGAATTTATTTTAAAATAAAGACAATTTTTACTTCAGGTACTAGATTGTAACCCCAACACACTAAAATGAATGACTTTAAAAACATAGTTTTCATATGAGTGCTGGAGCTGACATAGCTTCAGTCATAGGGCTGGGTAGTGGGGAAGGGGAGTGATAGAATGCTCTGAAGACATCTACTCTCAAAATACTGATATTGAACGAACATATGTTCTTCATTATTTGTCTTAAATTTTATATTCTTTCTCTTCTTTGGATTTTTTTTTTTGTTTTTAATATTTTTCTTCCTACAATATAAAATATCATTGGAAAGATAGAAAAATTAAAGAAAACCATAGTGAACATTTTAGTTTTATAAAAACAGATGAGCACGGCGCTATTTTATTTTTGCATTTCTGAGATATAACTTGGAAGAAATGTAAGCTGGAAGGCCAGAGGAACATGCAGACCAGGCGATGGAAATTGGAGTTGTTCATGAATCCATGGTATCATTAGTATTCCTCTAAATGGTGCCACCTGTTTTGAGCGGCAGGATTTAAATTTGGGAAAGACCTGCATTGTTCGTTTTGCATCTTTCCTTTCTTTCAGGTGCCCCAGGAATTATCGGCTCTGTGTGGTATGCTGTCGATGTTTATGTGGAACGTTCTTCTCTGATTTTGCACAATATATTTCTTGGCATCCAATATAAATTTGGTTGGTCCTGTTGGCTTGGAATGGCTGGGTCTCTGGGTTGCTTTTTGGCTGGGGCTGTCCTCACATGCTGCTTATACCTCTTCAAAGGTAAGAACAAAATAAAATAGCACACTTCCTTGCCCCAGTGTAATTTTTCCCAATCCAATGGAAACAAACCTCATAGCCCAAAATAATGTTATTTACTTGATCTCTACTTATTGCCAATAAAATTTTCAGTTGTTTAAGGACAACTGATTTCTGATATTCAAACCTATTACGCAGTTAGTGGTATATTTATTGAAAAAAAGGAAACCCACAGCTGTAACTGTGTCTGACATCCAAATATATAATGACTACTTTGATGTGTTATAATCTTATGAGTCTTACTTCACCCAATCTATTAAATTTATATCTAGAGTTAAACAGAGAAGTAGACTGAGAAACATGTCAAATATTTGTTGTTAAAAAGTGTAATTTGGTTTCTAAAAATACTTAAAAATAAAAAGAATTCCTCTTCTTATCAAGAAATAATAAAGAAAATACTTGGTTGAATTTTAAATCTGAAAATAACTTTCAGGATAAAAATCTAGATCATCACCTAGAGGTCTTCTTAGATGATTCTTTCCTAGAATATGTATATTTTTGCCTCTTTTTGAGAAGAATATATAAATTGACATTATTTTATGTCCCAAAGGTTACTCTGCCATAGTTATTTTTCTATCTCTACCATTACCTCTCCCAAACAGACGTGGGACCTGGAAGGAACTACCCTTATTCCGTGAGGAAGGCCTATTCGAATGCAGCTGTTTCCGTGGCCAAGTCCTACGTGGCCCCCCGGACAGAGACTGCCAAAATGTATGCTGTGGACACGAGGGTGTAGGGTGCTGCATGCGGTCTGTGTTGATATGTTACTTACGAATCAATCAGTAATTTCAGGTGAATAAAGCAGAAGGTAAACTTAGGAACAGTTATTTAAATGTCATGTACAACTAAATTAGCTGTGCAGCTTAATCAAAAAGTTTGTCACATCTTTTCTGCTATTCTCATATTCTCATTCTTTCTCTCTCTCTCTCTCCTCTCTCTCTGTCTCTGTCTCTGTCTCTGTCTCTCTGTCTCTCTCTGTCTCTCTCTCTGTCTCTCTCTGTCTCTGTCTCTCTCTGTCTCTCTCTCTCTGTCTCTCTCTGTCTCTCTGTCTCTCTGTCTCTCTGTCTCTCTCTCTCTCTCTCTCTCTCTCTCTCTCTCTCTCTCTCTCTCTCTCTCTCTCTCTCTCTGTCACACACACACACATACACACACACACACACTTTCCCTATATTTCAAGATGAGGTTGCTAAGATATAAAAATGTTTGTGATTCTATATTGCTATTAGAGGCTGTGACATGGTGATACTAAAATAAAATAACACTTTAAGAGTATAAAGCAACCTTCAAAAGAGGCCTGAGATTCTCATTTTTGAAGGGATTGACAAACTCTCAGCTCTTTCCCTGGATTTTGGTTCACTCTTTGTATTCTCCACTGAGTGAATTATTTATAACTTTGAAGAAGATGGTTCTTCTAAATTCAATCTAGTATATCAGTGCCCACTATTGCTCTGATTCTGTTAAAATAGAAAAAAGAAAAAAAAAGCTTTTTGTGCCTGCCACTAGTAGAAGCTAAAGATAAGAAATTTCCCCTTCACACTCCAAATGTCAAAAGCAAATGCTAAATTAATAGCAGGGCCCATGGTGACTTTCTTGCTCATTAACAATGGGAGAGAGCTGTGTGTTGTTATCACTGCTCTCTGCTTCCCTATACCGTGCCAAATTACTGGACTAGAGCAGTAATAGCTAAGCAAGGAGTTCACTCATTTATTGACTGGGCATCCAAATGTAATTTATGAATGCACCACATTAGAATTCACTAACTCAGGTGGCCTTTCACAACTAGATCCTCAACCCCTAGGCAAAATATCTGACATATGATAAAATTTAACAAATATTTGTTGATTGAAAGAAAGAAACCTCACAACTCTTTACTTAATCAATTTTCCTCATAAAATATGTGCTTTTTTGAAAAAAATGAATTATGTAGACACTTAAAGAAATCAATGAATGATTGCTAAGGGATTCATTCATATTCATAATGTAATCATCTTAAAGTTTTTAAATGATAAAGTTTTAAAATGGTTATAAAATGTAATCCCAGCCTTCCCAATTCTGTGTAATTCACATGAATAGCATTGATCCTCTTGCAGTACCTTAATGAACTATTGACTAACCTGGAAATTATTTCTCTGGAAAATGAAAATTTAGTTGTGATTTTCTGAAGACACCGAAAAGAGTGCTTCAATTAAAAAAACTAAAAATAAAGTGAAAATGAGATGATGAGGCCTAATACATATATAAATGTCTTTGAGAATGGTGTTCATGATTTTAAAAGATATTTATTTATCAGTATTTTCAGGAGAAATTTTTATCTAATCTTAGAATTTAGAGGAATTGATTCACTTTTATGGGTATTATTATCTGTGTAATTGACTCTGAAAAAAATAATTTGTAGGTCACATTTCCAAGTTATATGGGTATTATTCTATATATTTTAAAACTTATTTGTCTTGGTCTTTTTTCTCAACTTTGTTTTTTAAAATTTTTATCTTCACTTTTATTTTATGATATATTGACTGTTATCTTGCAATCCTTCTAGGGAAATGCAAGGCAAAAATTAATTAGTAACTCATTAGATTTTAGAGATACATTTTTTTTTCCTTCTTAAAGATTTCATTTGTATTAGAAAATATTTCAAAGGATTATGGTGATAATTGACATATATGACAGCTTTGAACTTTTTCTCAATAAAAACTTTTTGTATATTCTGGGAAGAATATTTGTATTTTTTTCTTCAGCTACCTTGGGAATATTTTTTTCTAATTCACTACAATTTAACAAAGCTCCTCCAAATAAAGCCTAACAGAGAATATGTTTTGTGCAGTAACTAGTAAACAACAAAACACATGTTAAATAATGACGTAACCATTGACATGGTGGCAACTCAACATGCTTAAAAGGGAAAAATAGTATAAGTCCAAAGTGTACACACATAAGATTATTAGATTATAATGTTGAAATAGCTCACTAAATTCTGGGTACTATAATTTTGTCATGTCCAGTTAATTGCAGTAAGGAAAAAGAAAATGTATAAAATTGGATAATCTTATTTATGTGTCCCTTTATTAACTATTACTTCCTCAAATCGTATTTTAAATTAATATTAGACTTTTGTTATTATAAAAGTTGTATGTGTGCATTGTAGACAGTGGGAAAACATAAACAACCAAAAATGTACCTTATTTAAATGGCCTGGCACCATATGCTCTCCATCTGGAACATCACTACTCTTGAACTGTATTGAGTATCTACATATCCTTCCAGATATCATGTGTTTATATGCATACATACAATGACACTCACCATACACATATATTTCTTTTTTGAGAGATCATTGTATATGTGTTGCTTATAATCAACATTTTCCCTTTTAACTATCTGTGCCCTTTCCTAACAATACATTTTTATCTTATCTAATGACCGATCCATATTTAAATTTTCCCAAGTTACTTAAAATGTACAATATAGCTGGTCTGTCCAAACCAGATTGTGTATTTCCCCTGGTTGTTATGCCTCTTAAGTCTCTTTTAATCAAGCTACATTTTTTTTTTTTTTTGGTCACAGACTCTGACTTGTTAAAAAAAAAACAAAAAAAACTGAACCAGTTTTCCGAGTTTATTCCACTTTCTGGATTTGTCTGGTGCTGTCGTTTAGTTGTTTCTTTATACTGTATTTCCAGTAAGTTAGAATTTGAATCTAAAGGCTTGATGGAATCATGTTAAGTAACTTTTAGAATGCACCACCGGTGATGTGATAGCATGCCCAGAAACCTAGTATCTGGTTGATTTGATCTTAATTGTGCTAAAATTGTTCACTGGATTAGGGGGATGACAATCTGATCTTTCCATTCTTCAGTTATATATATTTTTCCTTTAGTGACAAAAATAAATGATTAAAAGTGATTATTATTTTTAAAACTATAAGAATATCCTATTCTCTAATTACCATAATAATAGTTTTAAAATAATATTTTTAATAATTGAATACATTGAGTGAATACATTGAGTAGGACTTGTAGAAAATCATTTTCCAATTCTAAGGCGAGATAAATGCTCAGTTCTTTCCCTTTATTTACCAATTCACTATTACAAAGTAAGGAGCTAATTTATTAGTGGGATACTATGTACTTTATCATTAAAATGGAAGGGGGTGCCATTAATAATTGAGTTAGGCCTTTCCTGGGAAAGCAAGGAGATGTGGTCACTCTTTTAGCTCAAAGGGCTCCCCTTTCATTGTCCCCAGTGCACTTCACTTATGAGTGTGGTTTTTTGTTCCATATCTCAATTTCCTATAACATTACAAGCTCTAAACTAAGAGGACAATACATTTTCTACTCTGTGTACTGCTCTATTGCCAGTACCTGCACAGTGCCTGGTGCATAGTAGGCCCGCAATACATATTTTTGAATAAATGACTGAATGAATGGCGGTTATACCCTGGCCAGGAAAAGCAATAAATCCATTGCATGAGATTGATTTGTTCATTGCGTTATTCCTTCCCTTATTTATGCATACATTGGGGCAGTTTTTTTGAAAGGCTGTCTGTGTTTTGAAGCAGCCTGAGGTATAGGAGGGGGCACAGACATTTAAAAAAAGTTTTGAGTGCAATAAAATAATTGCTATAATGTGGGTATATAGGAAATGCCACCGGAAAAGCAACCTTTACACCTTTACTCAGCTGAGTAAAGAACGATGATGGAAAATAAGTTAAGAGAATGAATTCTATGAAAAGAAATCACGCACAAAGAAATAGAGTCAGGAGAAGGCCACTAATGTGCTAACAATTGCAAGCCGCTCCGTGTCCCCAGAGTGTACGTGGGAGGAAGGAGGTTTTGATATTCACGAATGACTTTAAAATGAATTTAACACAAATGACTTTAACAAATTATACAGGGCAAAATCACAAGGCACAGTGGGTTCGGGGGTTCAGGGTCGTGCTGGAAGCTAGCTGTCAGGGGTGAGGTAAAGGGCATGAGTCATTACCTTCCCAGGGGAGGAAGGCTGAGGTGAAGATGCTTGCTAAAGCCCTCAGCGCCACCGTTAGAAGTGCAACCCAAGTTCCTGCAGTGCTGGAACCATCCTGGGTTCCCTCCTCCAGGCAGCCTCTCTGAGCACCATCCATGCAGCGAAGTCCTATGGAGCCCGGCTCCTCCATCCCCGAGATCAGTGATTCCCAAGCTGACCCTCCCACCAAGTCTCTCCTTCACACCTGAACACTCTTTCAAGTCAATTCTTTGGCCTTTTGGGCTTTGTTTCTTTCTGTCAACACTCTCATGCCCGAGAGAACACTTCCTATCCCAATTTAAGGGGATACATTGGAAATTAGGAAAAAAACAAAACAATCATTCTTGGAGCAGGCTCTGCAGCTTTTGAGCTCACAAGTAATTGTTCTCAAGTGGCCAACGTTGGCTCCTGATGTGCAGCAATTAATTGGAATACAATATAATGCACAATACAATATTGATTAACCTATGCTTCCATTAAAAAAGCAGGTAATTTGTCATTTAAAATCTTTACTGAAATAATTGTTATTTGCCTAAAACAGAAAAGCATAAGGAAGAAAACAAACAACAAAAACACCAATTATCTCAGCAACCAGAGAATCTCTGGAGTTAGAAAAAAGTATACATGCATAAAGTTTTCAAACATTTACAGTACAGAATGTAAATATTACACAATGTTTCTCTTACCCATGTCTATGGTCTTCCCCACTATTTCTCTCCCAAGAGACGTACCT